TACACGCTAGCCAACTGCTGCTGCTGCTGCTGCTGCTGCTGATGGTGGTACTGTTGCTGTGGTGGCATCGCCTGCGGGGTGTGCTGTGCTGCAACAGCTCTGCTGCGTCGGTGTGCACCTGCGTCTCTGTTCGTTTGGGTTTATCTCTGTGTGTTGCTGATGATGCTACTGGTGATGCTGCAGGCACTACTGGAGCAGCAGCGTCGTGCGAAACAAGAGAAGGTGAAGGCGGGGAAGAAGAAGCCTCCGAAGCCGAACGTGAAGAGGCCGTTGTCTGCGTTTATGCGGTTTTCTGTCGGCAGGAGACGAGAGCTGGTGGCAGCCAATCCAGAGCTGCGTCACCCGAAATGCTTCAAAGAGATCGCCCAGCGGATTTCCACCGAGTGGAAAGAAATGAGCGTTCAGAAAAAGCAAGAATTCGAACAACAAGCAGCCGCAGATTTCAACAAATACAAACAAAAAGTACGCGAATGGAAAGCTAAACATGCACCCAAAGCTAAGAGAAAACATAGAAAATGTGGTAAAACACGCATCAACCAAACCACCAGCAACTCTGCTGCCGCCACCTCTTCTCTAGAGACGGACCAGGGGGCTGATGAGACTGCTGCTGCCGAGTCCAACAGCACTGCTGATGCTGAACCTGTTGATGCTGAAGTTGATGTTGATGCTGCTGACGGGGACAAAACAACCGCGAACGAGCGCAAAACGGGGGACGTGAAGATACAAAGCCAAGAACCCGAAGCTGCAAATACTGCGACAGACGTGCCGGAAAGCACAGTGGACAGCAGCAGCCACAGTAGACAGTCCTCAGGGCTGGAAGCCCCTGATGGAGTAGGAAACGCTGCGAACAGATATGAGGACAAAAAGGAGGCGCATGTTGAAGCAGCAGCGTGCGCCTCAACGGCAGGATAATACCCTGCAGCGTGGTAAACAGTCCGGCAGCAGTAGGGTAGACGGAAGCAGCTGGAAGCCACACGCCTCCACTCTCCGAATTTCGCGATGAGGAAGTTCGCGGAGATCGCAACCGAAGCTCTGCCCCGTATTCAATGCTGCACTGTCCACGAGTCAAAAGTCAAGGCAGCGGCTCTTCCAGCCTGGGGCTTCCACTGGGATGGAGGACACGCGCAACAGGCGAGCCGCATGCATGCAGGGACCGCGTACTGCAGTTCCATGACACAGTTGGTGCAACCAACTAAACGATTCAGCTGTGGGAAGGGAATTTTGGTAGCAGGGCACGCAGCCTCCACCCCCCAACCTGTATGTTTCTGTCAGTGTGCAACAGAACAGTTTGAGGGACAGTGATGCGTGCCCACTGCTGTCGCGCTTCCTCAAACGCCAAAACAGCGAATGTTGATGGACCATTTGGTTGGGGCCGGTGCCCCAAGACGTGATTTTGTTTGACGTCGTAGCATCTGGCGACATCGAATCTAGAGTCATTGTCTCGCTCACTGTCACAAAATAAGATGCACTTCAGTGTGCCTAGCTTCTGCAGGCGTCCGCGACTTTCACTGTAGTCTGTGTAAGCACCGAGACCAANACCCCAGCAACGCTGCTCGTCTAGCACCCTATGGGCCTAGATACAAACTGCCACTGCAAGTATACACTTCCTGCTAACTGAGGATTGGGGCAGTCAAGCTTCCTCGCCTGACTCCCAAAAGTGATACCAGAATCCGTGCCATGATCTGCGCCCAAAGTGGACAATTCCTATCGATGCTATTGGGATACATCTGTGATTAGGCGGCGACTACTCCAGTAATGCAGCTCAGCTTGACATACCTTATCTCTACTGTGACACGAGATGTATCATATGCATCATCGCACAACGTTGCGGAAAAGCCTACACTAGGAAACCTAGCGACGATAAATCTATAAATCAAGTCAACTGGCAAAATATTTCGCACCTGCTATGGGTCAACAGCAGCCCCAGATGCTGCAACTGTTGACAAGTAAAAAAAAACCTGTCTACGTGGTCGCAAGCGTTATCTGCCAAGTCGGATTTATCCACACCGACGGTGAACCTAGACTCGGCTGAAAGCCAAAAGCCAAAAACTCGAGCAATTTTGCTCCCTAAACAGAGATGTAGCTTGCACCACTCAGCAGCCACCTCTCAGGCGCAACACCAAATGAAGGGTAGATTCTTTCTGAATATTGTAGTCAGACAGCGTTCTGCCGTCCTCGAGCTGCTTTCCGGCGAAAATGAGACGCTGCTG